CAAGAGTTCTACCTAACTTATCTTCCAGAAAGTTTAGTGTTTCTGTCTTAATATTTAGATCTTTAATCCACTTCAATCTTAGTTTAGTGCATGGTGATAGGTATGGGTCTAGTTTTAATCTTTGGCAGGTTGAAATCCGGTTTTTCTAACACCATTTATTAAATAGGCTATCTTTCCTCCAATGATGGTGGTTGGCTCCTTTGCCAAATATAGAATTTTAAATATATATTATGTATATATTTTTAAAGCCCACTATCAATGCTCCATTAACATTTACTCTTGTTGTTTTAAAATTTTCTTCGTTGACCATTTCTTTTTCATCTTAGTCTTCCTTTCTGGGATTATTTTCTTTCTTTTATAAGTATAAATTTTGAGATTCTGCAGGAAGGTTATATTGGTAATAGACACTCAGTTTTGTCCAAAAATGTTTGTTCTTGTTTTTGAACCATGTATTTGCTGATGCTTAATTCTGTGCATGCATGTTATCCAACCACACTGTGTTTTTAATTGAGTTATCTGGCATAATGATGTGATATGAATATTATATAAACTCTCATCTAAAATGATTTAATGGCTGTTTAATATTCTATTAATGGGTAAAGTACAATTCATTTAAGTCATCTCCAAATTATTTATTTTATAGGTTCTTCCCAACTTTTTACTATTATAATTTATACTGTAGCAAACATCCCTGTATATAAATCTTTGTCCTTATTTCTGAGTATTTCTTTAGGAAATATTACTAGAAGAGGAATTTCTGGGTCAGATTATGTCAGGGTTATAAATTTAATTTAATTTTATTCCTCTCCCCATTGCACATCACTAACCAAGATTCAGGAATCATGATTTAAAATTTTTACTTAAATCAGAGTAAAGCCCGTACATGATTTAAAAATAGTACTAAAGGGTTTACAATTGGAAAAAATAGACTCCTGTCCTATTCTCCTTTCGATGTCCTGCTGCTCAAGAGGTTGAGGCAGGAATTGTGAGTTTGAGCCTGGGCAACTTACACCTTGTTTCAAAATAAAAAGGGCTGAGATATAAGAGGTACAGTGCTTGCCTAGCATGCAAAATAGTATAGAATGTAGTGAGAAGCTTCAGTTTTGGTGGTAGATTTAATTATAAGTCTGTAGAATATTATTTTTATTTAACTTTTTATCTCATTGTCATCCATGGTAATTCTAGCTCTCAATGCTATTTTTAAATAGATTCTTTTTAGAGAAGTTCTGTATCTACAGAAAATTTTTTGAAAATATAAAGATTTCCCTATACTCCCCACCCCCTACACGTATGTCTTCCCATATTACCAATATCTCCCAGCACAGTGATATATTTATTATAATTGACGAACCTAAACTGACACATCATTATCACCTAAAGAATACAGTTTATTACAGTTTACTCTTGGTTTTATACAATCTGTCAGTCTGGACAAACGTGTAATGACACATATCCATATCACATCATAAAGATTAGTTTTACTGTCTAAAAAATCTTCTATGCACAGTGTATTCATCCCTCTCCCCTCTCCTATAACCCTGGGCAATGTGCAATTACTGATATTTTTATTGTCTCCATAGTTTTGCCTTTCTCGGAAAGTCATATAGTTGGAATCATAACACTCATTTCTTTAGATTGGCTTCTTTAACTTTGTGATACATATTTAATTTTCTTTCTTCTCTTTTTATGACTTGATAGTTCATTTCTTTTTAGTGCTTGAGTAAAAAAGTCCTTCACCTGAATGTACAGTTTAACTATCTGTTTGCCTACTGAAGGACAATTTGCTTGCTTCCAAATTTTGGCAGTTATTAATAAAGCTGCTATATACATCCTCTTGGAGTGTGTGAATGTAAGTTTCCAACTCCTTGGAGTAGGAGAACAACTGATGAACTATATGGTACAAGAATGTTTACTTTTGTAAGAAACTGCTGAACTGTTTTCCAAAGTGGCAACACTACTCTGCAATTCTAACTGAAATGAATGAGCATCTCTGTTGTTCTACAGTTTCACCAGAACCTTATGTTGCCAGTGTTTTGGATTTTGACCATTTTAGTATGTGCATTTCATTATCTCATTATTTTAATTCACATGATCCCCATTGCATAGGGCATCTTCATTATAAGCTTATCTGCCCTCTCTGTATCTTCTTTGTTGAGGTCTCCATTAAGGTTGTTAGTGTATTTTGATGCTGTTAGTATTTTTGTTAAAGATTGTAAAGTCTTCTCAACAAACTGACTCCTTTAGCTTTATTTAGCCCTAATAACCTACCTTGCTCTGAAATTTGCTTTGTCTGAAATTAATACAGCCACTTTTACTTTCTTTTGATTAGTGTTAGCATGATATATCTGTCTATATCCATTCACTTTCAACTATATGATTTATATTTAAAATGGTATTTTGCACTTAATGTAAAATTTAGCCTTATAGTTTAATATACTCTCACAATATCTGCCTTTTAATTCATAAATTTAGTGCCAGACATTGAAAGTGATTATTAATACAGTATGGTGGTATTAATATCCACCTACTGTATTAGTTACTGTTTTCTATTTGCTGCCCTTGTTCTTTGTTCCTATTTTTGTCTTCTACTCTTTTTCTGTCTCTTATGGTTTTAGCTAATGCATTTTATATAATTACATTTTTATGTTCTTTTTAGTATATCATATACTGCTTGTTCTTTCCTTTAATTTTTTGGAGGGTTTTCCTAGAATTTACTATATATATATATACTAGTTCAAATGGCACTTTCAAATGGCACTATGCTGCTTCATTTCTCCTGCTCCTGCTTTGTATCACTGCTGTCATTCACTTCACTTATAAATAAGCATACAAAAGTGATATATACATATATATCAAATACATTGTTACTATTATTTTGAACAGTTATCAGTCAGATCTACTAAGAATAGACAAATGGCAGTTTTAATTTTACCTTCATTTTACCAATGCTTTTTCTTTATGTATATCTAGGTTTCTGACATATATAATTTTCCTTTTCAATATAAAATTGCTTTTAACATTTCTTTCCAGACATCTACTGGTAAAAAAAATCCCATTTTTGTTTGTTTCAGAAAGTCATTATTCTCCTTCACTTTTGAAAGATTATTTTTCAGAGTTCAGAATTCTAGGTATTTTTTTCTTTTAAGACTGAATATTTCACTTGACTTTTTTTGTGTGCAGTTTCCGAGAAGTCATATAATTTTTCTCTTTGCTTTTCTATAAGGTGGTTTTCCCTCTAGCTTCTTTCAGCATTTTTAATCACCAGTGTTCTGTAGTTTGAATGATATGCCTATTTTATCAAACATTTACTTAGTATTTCTGAGCTTTTTGAATCTATGATATGGTATCTGATATAAATTTAGGGGGGATTTTTCCTTATTATTCCAAATATTTCTTCTGTACTTTCTGGTTTTTACTCCTTTTTATGTTCTTGTTTGTGATTGTCCCACAGTTCTTTGATTTTTAAAAAATTTACCCAAGTTTTTTTTCTCTACTTTTCTCTTCAAGATTTCAATTGAGTTGTCTTCAAGCTCAGAATTCTTAGCCATATTGAATATTCTAACAAGCCCATCAAAGATACAGTGAACCCAGGGCTGGGGATTTAGCTCAGTGGTTCCCCTGCCTGCCCTGCAAGGGCAAGGACCGGAGTTCGATCCCCGGTACCAAAAAAACCACAAAACCCCAAAACCCCCCAAAAGTTACAGTGAACCCTTGACTTATGAGCTCGTTCGGTTCCTGAGGGCTGATTGTAACTAAGTGAATACAGCTGAGATCTGAATGGTTTACCTGGGTACACACTATAGATAACAAGAGACAGATGAATCTTCCATTAACCTAATTAATTAACCCACATTGTTCATATGTTAGGCCGGTTGTAACTTGAGGGTCCACTGTATTCTTGATGTCATTGCTAGCCTTTCATTTCGGTTTTTGTACACTATCTCTCTGTTTACATTGCCCATCTGTTCTTGCATGTTGTCAACATTATCCACTGAAGCTTGCTCTGTTACTAATTCCCTTCCTAACCTGTGTTTATGGGTTTTTAGTATGCCTTTGATATTTTTCCTTGACCGTCAGACATGATATACAGTGGACTCTCAAGTTACGACTGGCCTGACATACGAACAACGTGAGTTAATTAGGTTAATGGAAGATTCATCTGCCTCTTGTTATCTATAGTGTGTACCAGCCAAACATCCCGATCTCAGCTGTATTGACTTAATTACATCCAGCCCTTGGGAACCAATGGAGTTCATAAGTCAAGGGTCCACTGTATTGGGTAAAAGGAACTGCTATGGATAGGATCTTATTAATGTAGTGGTAAGTATGGAGGGAGGGAATTTTTCTATGGCCCTGTGATTAAGCTTCAGTCTTCTAATGAGTGTCAATTTTACATGTTTTTTTGGTTTGTGTTTTGAGGCACTTAGGATTGAATTCAGAGTGTTACACATGCTAGGCAGTACTCTATCACTGACTACATGCCCAGCCCAGATTTTTAGCCCCGTTTCCACTGCCAGGTCCAACAGGTTGGTGGGGGGCCTGGAGTGGGGACTGTAGTTGGATGTTTCCATTCCTCCAGATTAGAGGCTGATAAAAATCCGGTAGGTTGGGCTCTTGTTAAATAGCTTCACCCGAGTGCAGACCTTAGGGAGAACAGAATCCTCTGGCGTGTTTCAAAATAATTCCTTTCTCTTCTTCCTAGGACAGTGATTTTTCCCCTTCATGTTTACTGGGAGAATCTCAGAGCACCAAGAGATGAAGTTACAAAAGTGAAGCTCCCCTTTTTCCAACATGTTTGGGTCCCTCTGGATATTTCTCAGCATTGTTCACGTTGAGTAGCCACCAATTCATCAATTATAATGTAGATTTTTCTGGCCACATCACTGGTTCGCAGGAGGATTTCTGCTCTGGTACGTTGCGATTTTCTGTACCTACCAGTTTGTGTATTTAATTTTGGGGCTGTGCTTTTCCCTATGACCTCATATCTCTAGCAGAACTAAGAAGAGTTGTTGACTTTTAAATTTCTTTGCATGCCTGGCCAGAAACTGGCGGAGCTTGAAATACTACACCCCACCCCCACCCCACCAAGTGTGTCAGGCTTGTTTTTGTCTCAGCGACTTTGTGCTTGCTGTTCCTTTGCTTGGAGTATTTTCCTTTGACTTCTCATTATACCAAGATTTTCATGAGTGTCATCTAAATTTCACAGTATTTTTTCTTTGCATCATTTTTAAAGTATGTTTCCCTCATCTTGCTAACAGCACTCTATTTGATTTATTATCCTTGTTACTATCCAAAATTTAATTTTATTTAATTATGCATTTGTTTACTTTGTGTTGTCTGATTTATTTATCGATGTATTCCTAGCACCATGATCTTTTCCTGGTTAATGTTCAATAAATATTTATGGGTTTGTTGACTGGATGAAGAAATTCTAGGTATGCTCTCTCACCTGAAAGAAATCAGGGTAGATGCTGAGAATATCTCATGATGAGTAATGCAAAGCTAGCTGGTCAGTTCTTGATGGGACTAGGGGGAATGATAGAAAAACCTAGAAGCACAGTCTCCCTTTTCACCTATGCATAAGTGAGAGAGCTGCTCAAGAAAATGAGAGAAAACTAAACTAAAGCAAAAAGCCATAAAAAGTACAGGTAAATTCTGAGTGTTCACCATGTCCCTGGCCCTGTTATAAATGCTTCATGTGCAGAGCAAGTTTTAGTCATCCTCACACTACCAGGTGAGGCAGGCAGGGGCTGTTAACTCTGTTCCATGTACAAAAAGCCCAGTTTGAGGAGATTAAGTAATTTTCCAGGTGTTAATAATTTTTTTTTTTTTTTTTTTTTTGGTACCAGGGATCAAACTCGGGACCTTGTGCTTTCGAGGCAGGTGGTAAAACCACTGAGCTAAATCCCTGGCCCAACACTTTTTAATTTAGGTAAAACTGAGGATTCAGATCAGGTGGGTTTTACTTCGGGATTTTCAAATTTTAAAGGTATTCTGGATTTAACTTATTGTGGGAAAACAAACAAGTTGTAATTTTGGGCTTACAGAGATCAAATGCACCTGAATCTGCCCTTTGAAAAATCAGTTTACATCAATTTACTTTCCGAGCCTTTGATTCTTGAACTTTAAAATGGAAGTGATAGTTTTGGAAAAGAATAAAAGTTGTTTTCTAGATAGGTGATTTGTCAAAAATTAGTGTGCCAGTAAACACATACTGCATGTCTTCTGAAAGCTCTACAGACCAGGTATCATGTTTTGTAGTGGAGGAAATTGCACCTGTCTCCCTCCTTGGGGAATTTGTTACCCTGGCTTCAAGACTCTCCAAACTCCGTTGCAATGGGTTGCTGCAGATTTCTTTTCTCAACTATACTCTGAGCTCCATGAGGGCAGGACATTTAAGACTAGGTGCATCCCTCAAATTTTGTATACAGAAAAGTTCACAAAAAGGTGATCATATTGGTTTCAGCTTTTTTCCTGGGGCAAACTGTTTGACATACACAAGTTAAAGAGGGAAATGCTTTATTTGGCTTATAGTTTCAGTCTATAGGTGGGAGGTTTCATTGCTGTGTTGTGGTGAAGCAGAATCACATGGTGGAAGGAGGTGGTGAAGCAAAACTGCTCCTTTTGTAGCAGCCAGGAACCAGCACAGGAGCAGAGCGCAGCAAGAGATACAGCTGCCAAAGACCTGCCCCAGTAACCGGGGTCTACACCAGGGCTGCCTCCCAATAGCACAGTGAGCTTGAATAGCAGGGAGTAATCCACTGATGATCATAGTGTGTGCACAATCCAGTCTCCTCTCTGTGAGTCTCTTAATCCTGTCAAATTGACAATTAAGATTAACTGGCACAGTGATAGCAAAGATTTTTACTACAGTGACTGGTCTGAATATTCTCTATTACAACATGAAAAATTAGATCTTTGGATTAGACCCAGAGTTCTGTTTAGTTACATTTTCATATAGTTCTGCTGGTTAAGATAATACAGATTTGAAAAATTGTTGGAGTTGAATTTTTGTGATCTTTTAGTTTCAATTTCCCTCATTTCGCATTTGACTTGTGAGCCCACCTTTGGCTCATGTAGGGGGACTGCTTCTATGTAATGTGGGTTAATGAAGAGCATCAGTTTTGATGATCTGCTGTTTGAAACCAAACATTGAGATTTATGAATTTGTATGTTTGGGAAAAATAATTTATGTCTTTGACCCTTAATTTCTTTATTTGTAAAATGGAATTAATGACAATTGTTATAGTTAAAAACACTCAGCAAATATCTTCTTAATATATTTTGGTTGCCTATTTTTCTTCTCCTGAATTCAAAATCAGCCCTTACCTCAAAACTGCTCTTGTGTTATTATGAAGTCATGAGAGAAGCTGATAATGTCCTGTGTCACCTGTTTTCTCATGTTCTTTTTACTAATAGAACCCTCTGAGTTTTTTTCTGGCATATTTCCACTCAAAGCTTAGCTTTGTCAGGATTGCTTACAATTATATGTTACTTGTGACAAAGTTCTAGGTCAGTGGTATAACAGTGGTGCCCATGTGAATAATTGCCTGGCCCATGTTCTCAAGTTAAAGCTGTTAAGGTCCACTTCTTTCATTTCCTTCCCACAGGCTAGAATGCAGACATGGCTATAGTGAGAAAGTTTTGACCTTGTGAATTTGGAGATGACTTTGTGGATTTGGCAATGGAAGAGAAATAAGATAGAAGGAATTTGGGTCATTTGATGACCATATGGACAAGGGTGTCTCTGTGAACCAAACTGTCAGATTAGATTTTTATGTGAGGAAAATATACCTTCTCTTTTACTTAAAAATTTTCCCTTACTTAAAATTCAAGCTGTTCAAGCTGTTAAGCCTAAATCAAAATGTGTACAAAGTAGATATCAACCAAACCAGGTCCTAAACCCTACTGAAATGAGAGATTTAGGTAAAAGTCAAAATTCTAAGAATTTTAAGTGCAACTAATAGAAAAGAAAACCTATAATATAAATTGATAGACTTTTCTATGGAAGATAGCATAACGTCTCCATCTAGCATGGAAAATTCATATATTGACCTCTCCTGGACTGCACAGTGTCCTGTGTCCCTGTCCTATCTCATCTGTATAAATATTAAAAATATAAAGTTATAATATTTGAAAGATAAACAGAGGATTATTAATATTAGGACTAGGACCTTCTATTGTCAAAGAAAGCCTTTTGTGTGTGTAGGAATTGGTAAGCCAGAGGTGTGCTATGAATTAATTTCCTCAGGCTGTCATATGCGAAAACAAGATTCCTTTCTCAGCTGCCTGCCATGACAGTGTCTGGACACGCTTTCAGCTTAACTTGAGAGAGGAAGTCACTACATTTTATTGGTGGAGATTAAGACATCTGTTGAGCAGCCTATATCATATAACTCCCCACATAAACATGCAGCCCAAAGTGTCTGTAGCAGTGAGGCTGAGAGCTCTGGAATAAGGCCACCCCAGAAGGTAGCAGGGAAGGAGATGTGGAAGAGGTCTGAGGAGAGCTGCTCAATTCCTGGCTGCAGTCATTCTCAAGTTCTGCATCTTTTAGTTACATAAGCCAATACATATCTCTACTTCTCTCTCTCTTGTATAAGTTGGTGTAAATGTGGTTTCTGCCGCTTGAAATCAGAAGAGTTTTGATTATTTTTCTTCACTTAATACTTGGCAAATGGTTCTCTCCTCTCTAATTTTGGTTGCTCTAAAAGCTTTCTTTTCTAGAATCTTGTTGGGTGAACAATCAGATCTGGTCCTCTGGAAAATATTAAGTAGACTTTTAGTCTGGTTTGTGGATGACTTTTCATGGATTATTTTAAGCATATGTCTGCTTACCAAGTACTGATCATTACTGATGACCTATCATATAGGTAACCTATGAGCAACCATTCTCTGGAGACTGAGGCTTAAATAATGTGATGGAAGTATTTGGCACAAGGAATCTAGAAACTGAAAATTTCTGATTCTAAAATATGAGAGTGTTATATCTTGAATTGTGTCCCCCCCCCCAAAAGATGTTAAAATCCTAACCTTCAGTACCTGGAATGTGACCATCTTTAAAAAAAAATAAAAGACTTTCTAAAGAACTAGAAGCTACATAAGGTCATTAGGGTGAGGTCTAATCCAGTGTGACTTTCTCCTCAGAGAAGGAGACAGTTTGAACACAGATACACATAGGTGGAATGCCATGTCAAGGTGAAGGCAGGGATTGGGGTAAAGCATGTACAAGCTGAAGAACACTGAGGAGTGCTATCGAGCCATTAGAATGTGGGGAATGGATTCTTCCTTATTACCCTTCAAAGGATCTAATTCTGATAACCCCTTGAGCTTGTACTTCTAGATTCTAGAACTATGAGATAATGAATTTCTGTGGGTTGTCACCCTGCTTGCAGTACTTTGTTATGATAGCTCTAGCAAATTATACAGATTGTAGGGAGAAATTCTCTTTTTTTGCTTAAATTCTTTTATGGGTACATTTTAGATATACAATACATTTACATTTATCATTGGGTGCTTGTATCTGTACATGATGTATCTTGGATCTTACTTTTTCCCCATTACCTGTGCGCCCTTCCCTATTTACATAGACTTTGTTTCCATTTTTTTCTCTTCTCATAATTTTTCCTTTCCCTCTTTCCTTTCCCCTTCCCCTCCCACTTCCCCTACCCCTTTGGACCTTTTCTTCCTATTTCAAATTATCAATTATTCATTTTAATCATTTTAACCCTTGTTTACACTATCAGTTTCTCACACTAGAGAAACTATTCGGTATTTACACATGTGGGTCCTATTTATTTCACTTAAGAGTATGGCTTTGATATGCATCCATTTAGCTATGAATGTCTCTAGTTTTTCATTCTTTATAGCTGAGTAGTACTCCATTTTATTTAAAAAACCACATCTTCTT